TCAAAAGTGTACCACCAACTTTGCATTTGTAGATTAATATATAGATAAATAAAAAATGATCACTAAATGCAAAAATGAAATGGTTCCCATAAATATTGAAATTTTTCGTTATTGTTTGACAACTAAATGTTTCAGTCATGTGAAGTGCATGCACCAAAATGTTCGTCGTTTCCATTGACATTGCTTTCAAATTTCGGTCATCCATTCGGTTTCGCTGTCCCGACTCAATAGATATATAGTAAAACTCATTTACAACGGACAAATGACATCAGGTGTCATTGGTAGAGTTTGAAATTGCACCAATTCAATGTGATTTGTTGAATTAACACGGATTTTCAATTCGAATAGCAAAGCGATCATTGTTTTCGCAGAACAAAACTTTTGATTTCAGAACATTTCTTCGACCCAATTAAAAATCGAAATTGAAAAAAGAAAATGTTGCTTGAGTTCAACCGATACTTTTCAATTGAGCTCTGATTTGCTGAATTGACAGCTACCAATGAAGATGAAGTGTCATTTCGAGTCGTTGAGAACTTGACGAAACTCACCAACACAAATAGCACGCTTGCAAGTGTGTTAGTTTTAGCTTCGATGCTGTGGTTTACGTTGTACGATGTTCTAGATTGTTCCTTCGACCACCGAGTGAGGCAGACATATTGAGAGATACGCGAAAAAAATACTTTCGATGGAAAAAAGGCGACGACAAACGTGAGTGTTGAATATTTTTTTTAAATTCATTTGGATGCCTTTTTTTAAGTATAAAAATTTGTGATTGGGTCGAAAAAGTAGAAAATCATGAAAATCATTTGATGCTCACGAGAATTGGTGACACATAACCCGACTTTCGGTGTGTGCACATTTCATACGTAATTTTTCCTTGCATACATATGTCAAGCACGTGGTTTGCATTTCATTTAATCACTTTTCATTATTATCAAGCTATTGATGCTTGATTTTAAGTTCGGTCTATTGATTTTTGATATTATTTTCCCACCAGCAAATGAACCCGTTCAAAGGTGTTGCTGGCAGACGCAAAAAGCGTAGACTAAAGTCCGAAATGGTTGAAGTCAAGCAAGAGCCTGGTATTAAGGAAGAGCCCAACGATGGTGACGATGTCTTGAACATACCACGGCCAAGAGTTGATGGAAGATATCGTGTGAATTACGAGGGACCGTTCAACTTTGCAGATGACTATGATGCGATTAAAGATGAAATCAAATTTGAGGGGAATTTGATACCATGTGACCGATCGAATGAAACTGCTGCTAATGATGGTGACAACGAAAAGCCTATGGAAGATGGCATCGATGTGCAACAACCGAAACCAGTTAGCAGTGGAAAGAAACAGATCGGAAGCTCCAAAAGACGAAACAAACGAACAATTCCCGGGAATCAAGCGGCCAAAAAGCAAAAGAAGCACAAATGCCATAAGTGCAATCATTTGGCACGTTGCAAGGCTGAACTATTACAACACTTGCGAATTCACACTGGAGAAAAGCCGCATCGTTGCGAAGTTTGTTCGAAGTCCTTTGCACGAAAACGTGCTTTGGACAGTCATAAAAAAACGCACGGCCAATTCCGTTGTTCAAAATGCAATCAAGGATTTGAACAAGAATCAGTCAAGTTCAATCATGAGTGGCTGTGTAGTCCGCAGCAATTCGAATGCGACAATTGTGGATATAGAACGATCCACAAATCAGATTTGACAAGACATATGCTGATTCACACCGGAGCAAAGCCGTTCGTGTGTTCAATTTGTTTCAAGTCGTTTAAAACAAACGTTGAACTCCAAAGACATTCGATGACTCACAAAGATGAACTGCCGAATGCTTGTTTGAAATGTGGTCGACGATTTGCCACTGCAGAAGATAAGCAAACACACGAATCGAGCTGCCAACAAAGTCTTTTGGCATGTAATCAGTGTCATTACAGAACTGTTCACAAGGCTTCTTTTAAGCGCCACATGCAATCGAAACACGGAGCAAAAAGATCGATCGAATGTGAAATTTGTAGCAAGCAATTCGTCAAACGGATGGATTTAAATCAGCATTTGTCTACAGCACACAGCGACCAGTTCCCGTTCCAATGCTCGAAGTGCTTCGGAGGATACGCAACCGAAGATGCAAAAGAGGCTCATGAAGATACCTGTGGCTATCGTCAGTTGCAATGCCACTTGTGCAAAAAGTATCGCCGAGACAAGTACATGTTGAAGATTCACATGCGAAAAGATCATACCGGAGAGCGGGTTCAATGCAAAGTGTGTGCAGCCAGTTTTGCCAGTAAAGGCCATGCTAATCGACACATGAAGGAAGTTCACCGTTTGAAGAGGAAATAAATCGTGTATTCCGTAGATTGATCAAAACGCAGTTAATCTTTAAATTATTTGCTCATGATTCCTTTAGCAATGAACTGAACTCATTATTTTCAACACTTTGACATCATTTCGATTCACCATTCAATATTTTCATTGCATTCATTTCATGAATCCTTAGATTTAAGCTCCATTTTGAATTAAACAAAACGAAAAAAAAAATCGAAAAAGAAATAAAAGAAAATCGATCTGATTAAAAAGTTGAGATTTACGTTTTTTTTTCATTTCGGAACGAAAGTGGAGGCAAAACAAAAATTGCACTTGTGTGCTGTCATTAAGTAAACATCTTTTCCGGCAATACAACATAAGCCAATTCAATTGGCATATCAAAAATCGAGTTGACTTTTATTTCGGAGTTTATTTCAGCAAAAAATTCTTCTTGGCTAACGAATGGAACGAAAGCTTTTTTGGGAAATGTTTTACATCAACGAAATTCATTACGTTGCATTCGAATCGAGTTTGTCCGTTTTTATGATGATGTTACTATTTCAAAGCGTGATGTTATTCACAATTTCCAATGATAAATTTTTTGGTTTTAATTGATTCCTAAATATTATTTGTGATTTGTGTACCAGTTCAATTGAACGGTAGGGAATATTCGTTGGACTTGTTTTGATGCGTAGTTAAATGTGGAACTTGGAAAAATTTGTACGAAAAAACAGGACAAATATTAATGCAATCACGGCTTAGAAACCCTGAAAAAATTATTTTGATGTACCGCTTTTGCGTGCAACATTTTCATGATTCACATTTAACAACGCATCGAAACAGGTTCAACGAATATTCTCATAGCAGTTCAATTGACTAGATAGATCATTATTAATCTCATTTCTCATAATTCAATTTTATTTTGGTCAACTGCAGCATTTTTCAGGAATGTTAACGAATAAGTTAGCCGCTATTCGGCAAACACTTAGAATTACACATTTGATCAATTCATAGATGTATGTATCTCACTCTCACGTTCGATTGTTCATAGCAAACAAAGCGTGTTCCTTCCAATAAGTAGTTCATTCGATGCGAGGTGAGGAATGTAGGAGAGACCAATGCGATTCCAATTCGATTTTTATGACATCAAAGCTGAAGAGAACAAATTTATCGCATTCGTGAGGAATGGACATTGAACAGTTTTGAATACTAATTTGTTTACATTTAAATGAACGAACAAAATCTAACGTATGAGTTTGTTGTTATTTCTATTACGCAGATTTGCTCTCGACAAGTGACACTCCCAATAGTTTCACACGAGAATTTTCCTGAAAAACTATGGAAAACGTTCGAGAATCATACGATTCCACTACTGCGATGTTCTACTGAATTTCTTCATATTTGCTTACAATGTGCAATTCCGATGATCGCGGGAAGAACTCTCTGAATTTGTCAAAGCCAATTTTTCCATAATTGATTTGAAGCATTTGATGTTGGCTAAATAAGTTCAACAGAGTGAAAGATCCAAAATGTTCACTTTTCAATCGCAACGCTTGCAAACTTTGAGAATGCATTCGATTTCATTGTCACAGATTCAATAATTGTTTAGTAATTCATTTAGTTTTTGCCAAGTTCACGACTAAATTCAATATTTTTCTATTTAAAAGCCTATTGCTCATTGAGCATTGCGCAATCATACAGAATTTCTATTTCGATCGATCATAATTTTTAAAAAGTCGTGCTAATCACAATTAGATTTGGCGAAATAGAAATTCCACATGAACTTAACGAACATTTTTGAATTGAACCCTGAATTTGCGCAAAAGTGAGCTATTAATTGACATGAAGTGTGTGCATGTGGTGACGTTTTCAACTTAACGAAACGTCACAAATACAAATCGCAAGCGTATACATTGCAGTATCGATGCTGTAGGATATGCTGAGCTTGCCATTTTACATTTAACCACAGAGTGTGGCAGACATCTTGAGAGAGACGATACACGAAAAAAATCAATTCCACGTGCAGCAGAAAAAATACATCCACAGCACATTACACGACGTAAGTGTTGAACATTTTTAATTACTCATTTCGATGTAAGCCTTAGAATATTTTATTTTGTTGAAAAAGTGACACATCGACTAGGAATTTCATTAAAATGGTCAAGAAATATTTTTTTATACATTTGGTGGCTCTCTTCAAAAAAAAATCACTTATAGCCGAAGTCAAAATATACTGGCGGCCGTAAGTGTCGCGGCCGAAATTCAGAGAGCTCATTTGATGTGTACTTTTTCTTGGCCACACATGTGTTAAACACGTGTTTTGTAAAATCGATTCATTTAGACATTTTTGATTTTTTTTCTTCCTCTGAATCCATCAGGTAATGAACCCGTTTAAAGGTGTTTCTGGTGGACGCACCAAATGCAAGTCAAAGTGCGTGAGGGTTGAAGTCAAGCAGGAGCCTGGTATTAAGGAAGAGCCTAACGATGATGGTGGTTTCATCAACATACCACGGCCAAGAGTTGACGGAAGATATCGTGTGAATTACGAAGGGCCGATTGACTTTGCCGGTGACTTCGATCAAACTAAAGATGAAATCAAATGCGAAGAAGAAGAGACGGGCACAGAAAAGGACTTGACACCATGTAATAGACCGAATGATAGCATCGCTGCCAATGCTGATGACAACGAAGAGGCTACGGGTGATGTAATCGATGTTCAACCACCGCAACCCGTCCGCAGTGGAAAGAAACCGAATTCGAATCCCAAAAGGCGAAACAAACGAACGATTCCCAGGAATCAAGCGGCCAAAAAGCAAAAGAAGCACAAATGCCATGTGTGCAATCATTTGGCACGTTGCAGCGCTGCACTCCAAATACACTTGCGAACTCACACTGGAGAAAAGCCGTTTCAGTGTGATGTTTGTTCGAAGTCCTTTGCACGTAAACAAGCCCTGAACCATCATAAAAAAACGCACGGCCAATTTCGTTGTTCAAAATGTAATTTAGGTTTTGAACATGAATACGACAAGATCGAACATGAAAGGCTGTGTAGTCCGCAGCGATTCGAATGCAACACTTGTGGATATAGAACGATCAAAAAATCACATTTGGAAAGACATATCCGGGGAAAAGCCGTTCGTGTGTTCAATTTGTTTCAAGTCGTTTGAAACAAACGTTGAACTCCAAAGACATTCGATGACTCACAAAGATGAACTGCCGAATGCTTGTTTGAAATGTGGTCGACGATTTGCCACTCCAGAAGATAAGCAATCACACGAATCGAGCTGCCAACGAAGTCTTTTGGCATGTAATCAGTGTCATTACAGAACTGTTCACAAGGCTTCTTTTAAGCGCCACATGCAATCGAAACACGGAGCAAAAAGATCGATCGAATGTGAAATTTGTAGCAAGCAATTCGTCAAACGGATGGATTTAAATCAGCATTTGTCTACAGCACACAGCGACCAGTTCCCGTTCCAATGCTCGAAGTGCTTCGG